TATATATATAGCATTCATGTTGCTCAGGATCAGTTTCAGTGGCGAGCTCTTTTGAGCACTGTTATGAACCTCCGGGGTATGTACAAGGAACTATACTTTTCTTACCTGGCTGAATGACCGTTAGCTTGTCAAGAATAATTCTGCTCTGAAGAGCTACTTAATACACTGGGAGTACTTCCACTATTAAATAAGTGTATGAAAACTAAACAACATTAAGCCGATCACAGTGGCCGTGAGTTTTAAGGTATTGCCAACTGTCTGTAAGATTCAGCATTTTAGAATTAATTCTGAATGGGCACTAGCCACAGAGAGTAATCATTCTAGAAGGAAAGGAAACCTACCTCTAACAGATTGCAGCATATCTTCCCAGGCTTAGTGAACGCGTTCTGAGACATGACACTGTCGACTCCGGTGTCGTTTGTATCTGCTGGAGATGTAAATATGGCGTAGCTGTAACAAGAGAAGCAGCGAAAGTCAGTTCGTCGAAGGAAGGATGGTGCGGTGTATTTATGGAGTACTGTTGCACGTGTGCATACGAAAAATGGTGATGTTTTCTTTTTGGAAGACTTAAGGATTATTTAATATTGTCCACTTATTTCTACAAGTAGTGGATTAACATTTTTGTGACATGTAAATCTACAAGATAAGGCAGAATAGAACGTGAATTTAATCAAAGTTACAAAGCAGAAAAGCTGGGTATTGGTGAGTACAAAAACATACATATTACGTATACGGTATATCTCATGTTGTACAGTGTGAGGAGAAACCAATTTGCCACCGTTCTTGTCTTACCCACTAGATATTTAACCAATCTATACCTGATTTCTCTCTTTCTTGTTCATGGATTATTTATGCTTTTTATTATTGCTAGTGGGTTGGGACTAAATCCCTTGTACCGCGGCCACTTCTGGCCTATTGTGGATTATTTAACGTTTTCAACTTCGTGATTATATTACCATCGGATGGTAGGGTGACTAACCGACCGACCAAACAACGAACCAACGAACGAACGAACGAACCAACCAACCAGTCAACTCCATGCAGCAGAGTCCTTCAAGGAAGATCACAATAAGAGGGATGGGATGGATGGCATGTATAGCACGCATGAGGAGAACGAGAAATACTTACAGACTTTTTGTCCGAAAATCCAAAGTAGAGAACTCGCTTATGATGCGTAGATGAAAGGATTGCTAGAGAAGTGTGTTGTTGATTGAATTCAAGTGACCCAGAATAAAGCCAAATACCTTCCATTTGTGAAAAGGGTAGCGAACTTTCGAGTTCTATAGGCGCAGGAAATTTCTCAGATGTATATCAGCTGCCTACGAAAAACTACGTTCTGATAACTGACTGAGACACGTTGGTGTGGGTATGTCAGTACGGCGCATTGAATAACTTCCGAATTTCTCAAACTGAATTGTATCGAATCATATTATTATGCTGAGTAATCAGACTGAACGATTTCTTGTCGCCTCTTTACACACTAGAGTACTGCTCACTGCTGTGGGTGTATTCCTGCCTCTTCGCTTGCGGCGTATTCGTTGTTATCTCCAAACAGACGTCTTATACTTCCGCTCTACTAGGAACAGGCTTGTGTACAAAGAACTATGACTCCCGTTTCTACTATGCCCGGTAAGATAAACAGTATCGCGAATTGTACTGGAGCTGCAGAGAAACTGCGTCACAGTAATACAGAATGGCAGGGCTTCCCCTTGGAATTCCTTTTAAAGCCCAGTGGTTCTGTATGTACCACCAGGCTTAACACATCAAAATACTGCTTTCTGCCCGCAAAGTGTATCTGCGTATTTCGTATGGTACTCAGAATGAGTAACCAAATTAAATAGGGAAACATTGATCTAGTGCAGGCATGTCCAACGCGTCGATCGCGATCGACCGGTCGATTGCGGGACGATTTTTGGTCGATCTCATAGGCCTATAAGGAAAAATTATACGTAAAAAGCAGGTAAATTCACTTGTAATATAATGTGATTATATTCAGATTTTGAAGGGAAAATCTTGTTCAAGTAGTGTGTACTTTCAATGTATGTTGCTTTTACAACAAACATTATGTGTCGTGTTATTTTTACCAATATTTTTGCTTAAAGCGAGGTACGACGATAGGAGGGGGTGGTAGATCACTGGCAGTTTTGACACTAAAAAGTCGATCACAGCCTGTTTGAAGTTGGACATGTCTGATCTAGTGTAAAAAAAGTGTTGTTACCATGTTAACTGTGAATCATGGGAAGAGTAGGAAGTCGTTATTACGAACCCATTGTCGTGTTGTTAACTATGATTACTATAAAATATGCGAAGTTTATGTACTCATTGTTGTCAGGATTCCAGTGTTGTTCTTACGGAGAAAGTAATGTGGAAATAAGGTGACTTGGATTCGAACTCGTGAGCTTAGCAGCAAAACGAAGAATTTTATCGGGTTGTCCCTCCAAGAGGAAAATATTTTGCCATTACCAATTTTTTCCACTAGTCGCCATTTGGGAGAAAAAGGGATGGACAGATGGACGGACGAATTTTGACGAGTTTGTATATAGATAATCAGGACAGAAGGTTTCGTGGACCAGATTAGGAACGGATTCATAAGTAAACGTCATACTTCCTCATCATGCAATGGGTTTACTCCTATGTCAGGAGACTGTATTAGATTATAGCGTCGAGTGGTATGTTGATCGATGAATAATGAATTGGAGGTGACTCGGAAGGAAGCGGTGGTAGACTGATTGAAGTACTACCCCAACATTTGCCTGGAGAGACTGAGAAAACCAACAAAGAATCTCAGTCAGGATAGCCGATATCCCGATTGAGATTCGAACTAGGTGCTTCCAGAATACAAGCCAGAAAAGTTACAGCTCGAGCCAGCTTACTTGGTATACTTCTTCTCGCCGAGCTAAACCTTGGTCGTCAGACTCATTTGAAGTTACATCGAGCCAGTAGGGCCGCGCCATAGCTCAGGCGGTTAGTCGCTGGCTTCCTACTGCGGCGGCCCGGGGTCTGGTCAAGTGGGATTTGTGGTGGACAAAGTGACGCTGGGGCGGGTTTTCTCCGAGTTCTTCGGTTTCCCCTGCCAGTCTTCATTCCACCAAATTCTGCATCATCATAATCACCCGGTGCACGTACAATAGGCCAATCAGTGGCCGACGTGCCGAGTGGACCCAGTTGGACTCCACTCCCCACTAAGCGAATTTAAAAAATAATTACATCAAGCCAGAATAGCGTTCTGGATAGCTGTTTCTACATGTTAACATTGTACCCGTATTTTTATTGAGCGTAGCTCGGTATAGCGACGGGATTCGATCTGGTCGGCCGGAGTTCTATTCCCGGCAAGGAAAGATATTTTTCTCTTCTCCACACCGTCCAGACCGGCTCTACGGCATACCCAGCCTCGTATACAATGGATACCGGGGGCTCTTTCCCCGGGGTTAAAGCAGCCGGGGCTTGAAGCTGACCACTCATCTACTTTTAGTGCCGAGGTCAAGAATGGTGGAGCTATGTGTCCATTCCCTCATACGTTTCCAAGGCATCGTGCTTATGTAATTAAACACAGGGACAACTTTATTTTTCTTTTTTACTTTTGCTTACAGATTACAGTTTTCAGTGAAATGACTACATGATACCGCTGCGTTTTATGCAGATGGGAATCAGGTTTTTAATACGTAGTGAATAAGAGAATGTTATCCTGAGAGCCCCCATAACTATCAGCCATTCGTACGAACGTGACTAAAAGAGTACAACAAACTTCATGTGCTAATCTGTTCTGCTGAAGGATAAATTGCATCACTCATCGGCGAGTCTCTAGCTATTCTATGCTCCTTTCCCTTTTATCCTGGTTGTTTCCGTTTTGGCTTTAATAAATGTTTGTAGTGGAAATTATTGCGTACATTCAAGGACTCTTGTGAATGCAAGGAAAGCAAATCTGTGCAAGAGAATGACTTTCCCGAACACGCCTCCTAAAGCTGCCAAAGACTACTACGTTGTAACCTTTTGTTTATACATTTCTTTGAGCGTAGGAGTTCTCGGAGTACGTTGTGACTACCATCAGGGAATAATGAATGCCTTACTATTACTGGGTTGTTCGCTAACTCACAGTTCCAGGAAAACAGATGTGATCACGGTTTTGGGAAGTTGTAAGCCTTAGAGCAAGTCGACGTTAGAGTTAAGAAAAATCGATACGTATCATATAGATGTCAGACGATTTAACCAATTAAACTTATTAGACATGCCGAGAAGTAGGAATTATTTAAGCCTGATTACACTTAGTAAGTGTATCGATTACTATTTCAGTTTCAAGACTTATAGGAACTGGAATTTTTAGGGAACAATTCACCGATTATATCACGTTTATAATTCGAAATGACTGTGTCATATGGAGAAGTGCGTTAAGTACGCAACACATGTTTGGTGAGCTCATGAGAAATATGAATATTACGAGAACAGTTTCACTGTGAAATACGTTATACCGGGTCATAGTGGCTGCGCAGTCTAATTCATGAACTGTCTTCGCTCGCTCGAACCTTGGAATCGTTGGTTTGAATTCAACCCGAGTCGTGGATATCTGTGTGCATTAATTCTGTGTCTGCGTTGTCCTGTGTGTAGGTAGCGGCCTTGCGGCCTGCTGAACACCCGTCCAAGGAGTTCTACCGACTATGTAAAACAGATTAGGAAACTGAAGAAAAGGTCAGGGCTCAACAAAGGGCTGTAGAGTCATTGACGAATGAATGGAGTACATTGTAGGGTATTATTTCCTTGATAATGAGTAGTGAATGACTGCAATTTGTGAAAGAGCTGATATTGGACGAACCGGAAAGTCACGTGAAAATCTTTAATGGTTATAGGCGTATTTGTGTAAGCGAAGCAGAGGGGCAGGTCACAAGTCATCATAACCATTTTTGGTTCCAGAACAGCCCTGTTCTGATACAAGGAAATACAGTTTAAGAGTAAACAGCTGTAAGTATTTAGATTGGTGCGTATGGATTAACTGAGACGTCCTTGATATGTTTTAGAGTAGGCCAGATATACTGATCGACCAATTAATTACCATCACCGTCCATACAATGCAACTGTAACTTATTCGTTCATTCATCATTGTCTCTACAGCCCTTTGTTAGGCCCTGGCCTCTTCTTCAGTCTCGTAACCATTTTTACACAGTCGGTAGGACTCTTTGGGCAGGGGATCAGCCCGTCGCAAGGCCGCTACCTCCACAGGACAACACAAACAGAATAAACGCATACAGACATTCATGCCTCGAGGGGGACTGGAACCCACGACCTCAGCGTCCGAGCGGGCGAAGACAGTTCATGCCTTAGACCGCGCGGCCACTGTGATCGGCAACATTAACTTATGCCTATACTTATTTTTAGGCAGAATGAGAATTTCTATTATATAAGCAACAAATATTTCAGGATTGCGTTCCGGAGGAATTATGCTATTTTATAAGCATCAGGGCAATAATGGGGTTTCACATCTGTATTCTGGCTTCGGTTGTTCAGCGTCTGCTGTTGAGGAAGTCATTGGCAGCAACGTTAAATAGAAACTGGCGTGAACTGGAATTAACGAGAGGTTAGTAGTTCGGTTGGATCAGCGTCTGGAATTTTGTGTAAAGCTGCACCGAGGTGGTTGGATTCTTATATTGTACATTTGTACCGCCTGTAGGAGAAGCAGTGAGTATTTGTGAGGTGAACTGAAGTAGGATGGAGTGTAATTAGACTTGGCCTATTTGAAAGCACTGTAATGTATTACCACGAACTACGAAGGGTTTAATGGCGCCGAGGAAAGTATTTGGACCTGAGAGGGATGAACTAACGGAAAGCTGGAGAATATTGCATAGAAAGGAGTTTAGTAATCTCTCTCGCCAGATAATACGTCGATCAAATTAAAAGACGATGCAATTGGAGGTTCACGCGTGGGAGAGAGGGAAACTTCATATAAGGATTTTATAGTAAGATCTGAAAGAAAGGGACAACTAGAAAGACCCAAACCCAGATGACAGGATAATATTAAACCAGAACTTAATGAGAAGGATGGGAGGGCATGGACTGGACTCATGACTGTGTATCTCCTTTGTTTTCTTAAACAGACTTTTCGCGCTCATGAATTCACTCTGTTACTTTGTGGATTAGAAGCCCAGATTAAGGATTCTCATGTATACTGTAACTACAATATACTGTAGTTGACCATTAAGGAGGCAGATGCCTGGAAGGAAAGGGAAAAATTCAAAATTGAGGGCAGACTTACAGACAGACATCTGCAAAATGTGCTAAGAGATGATTCCTGTAATATTATGGTGTATTTGCTCAAAGCAAGAACTGTGGAGGCAGAAAGACAGTCGCTGCTAGGTAATGGCCCGTACACATGCAGCAGAGGAACGCGTAACGTACGCTGTTACGTCACGCAACAGTAGAAGATGTGTTGCAAGCGACGTTCTCTGTGGGGTCGTACCGCCTTCGTGGCT